ATTCATGGATAATTCCTAACTCTAATTTCTCAGGGCCTAACTATACTTCCTATAGAAAATCCCAAACTGGTACCAGCGCTGGCTTAGCAAGCAAGCATGAATTTATGTATGCTTATTTCATAATTAATTCCACTGGATCCTAGGGCTTGTACTAGCCCTATTCAGTCATCATGAAATCCTGCAGCCATCTATTCCTGTTCATGGAATAGAGAGGCACCCTGCCCCATCCCTTCTCCTTGCCCTTTACTTTGCAGGGTTCGTAGTGAGTTAGGAGAGAGAAAATCCATTCATTGCATATGCTTAATTAAGAATCATGTCTCTTTTCTATGGTATGATAAAGTTAAGGTTAATGTAGATTCTAAGAATCATTATATTAGGAGTGCCATATTGAGAATATGGAATAAATATAAACCCGGACTGTGCCCAAACATGCCTTTATGGGTCTCAGTGCAAGACGCATTCCATAGGTACGAAACACTTGGTAAAGAAAAATGGTTACCTGTTTGAGAGTTGTTAGAACAGAAACATGGAGAATATAAGATGAAATCAAAAGAGCAAATGGCTGCAGAGTGATTTAGTTTTCAATGGTTTTTGTATGCAGAGTTATGAGAAAGATTTAAGGTAGATAATAGAACATTTGGAATTGAGCAGCAAAAAACAGAAGTTGAACTATGTACAAATGATAAACATATAACTGCTAAAATGTATAAACTTTTAAATACATTTATTGAAATCTGAAGTAGAAGAAGTGAAAGACTATGATAAAATGGGCTAAGAACTTTGGACACAATATACTGATGGAACAGTGGGAAAATATGTGATTAAAAAGACTGAAGTTTACATTATGTCATAATTTAAAAGAGATTTTTTATAAAATGATGTACCATTGGTATATGACTCCAGAAATATTGTCTAGAATGTATAAAGATCCATAATCTTTTAATTGTAAAATGAACTCACATGCTTCATTAATCTGTAATGCCAGGCTATTATTTGCACATGTCTTTTCCCTCTTATTCAATTGACTTGAAATTATTTCTACTTTTTCACAATTCAAACTGGCAAACTAGATTTCAATTAATCTGCTTTACTTGACATTGAAAAGTACAAGATCATGAAAATAAAGGAATAAAGATAACTTCTCAAATACCCCCCAAAAATTATATTCAGTTTTCTAAATGTGGGCATTTTATTTTCATCTCATGATGGATAATAAACTGTTCTTGCCTGTCTAGTAACTAGTCATGGATAGTGATAGCAAAACGTTGCATCTTAAGTGTGATTTAGGTCTGGAATATCCCATTTTTCCCTGGAAAGGGATAATCCAAGCATTCTATGAGTGGATTTGTGTATTTCCAGAAGTGTATTTTCTAGAACTAGAAGTGGTTTAAAGTGTTCCTAATCAATTTCCTCACAACTTTGTTACAGTGCAATTGGATAAACAAGCGGAAAGGATAAATAATGGAAGAAAATACTTTCCAAGATTCCTGTATGTGTTCTGACAAGCTGTTAACAGGTGCTAATTGTAGGACAGAAACTGAGTGAAAATGTTTTAATGATGTTCCCTATATCATATAGAAGGCAAGCATGCAAAATACTATTATCTAATGTGACAGACGTGTAAAGCGTGGTCTGACAAGTTTAAATGAGGGTTACATCCAACATTAAGAGACCAGTTAAAAAATAATGGTATTTCCCATCAATTCTTGTCACTTTAGAAACTGTAAGTACTCCAAACAGATTTTAGAGATACACTGGGAGGTATTAACAAACTATTGTGCTGGCAAAACAGCACCATTAGAGCAATGATGCAATTGGATTCCAAATAAAATATAGTATAAATAATATGCTATATAAGTTGATCTCAAAGTCAGATATGCATCATTGTTTAGAAAATATATAAAATCATGTCAATAGAAAAGTTTATTTAAGACAACCCCTTAAAAAGCAGCTTTAGTTTAAGCCACAGTTTAACATAGTAGTGCTTTACCATGATCACCCCTAATACTTAATTCAAGAAGACAACCTATACATACACATGCACAGAAATAAAGTTCCCAAAGCATAAAAAGAAAAAAATTACTTATTCCAGTTTGCCAGTACTGATTTCCATTAATTCACAGAGCTAAACTAGTCTCAAACTTAAAAGCCTGTAGGAAGCACGATCTTTTCCGAAGCAACTCAAGAACCACAATTATCTACAATGATGCTCGGCACCCATATGACTCATGACAAACTCTAACATGTCATACTGAAATATTCCTGTAGTAGAATTAAGAAACATCAGATGTTGTTTCTGTATTCTCGAGTATAACTACTCCAGCTTTTCCAATTTTGTTTGTCCTTTATTTTTGCTTTGTATTTCAGTTTCATCATTCCTTTCTTTCTATTCCTTCTTACCTCATTAAACAACTGCAAGTTCTTTCTTACCTCATTATACGACTGTAAGCTCTCCCCGAGGTAATAACTAAATCAAGAAAAGCTCAATATTTTAATGCTAAGAACCAACAGTGATAATCTTGGGGCTCAGAGGAGTTCTTATCAGTGTAAGCTAGACATTTATAGCATGCCACCTTGCTACTTAAAGTGTCTTTACATATTTTTATAAAAATAATATTTAAAAATAAATTAGGGCAGGAAACCTGGCAAACATTAATGTACAGTACTCCTCTACCCACAAGTATCTTATTCCCTAAAACAGACGTGTAAAATGTAACTTTTAAAAAAAGTATTTAAAAACCTGATCTAGAAGTCATTAATTAACTATGTACTCCCCACTTAGAATAATCAAAAGTCCTGTTTTAGATGTTTCTACAGATCTTTTTTTTCTACAAACAGATGCAGCCATAAAATAAATACATCACCCAAGTAACTATGTCAACTGCTTTAAATAATATGTATTGGAAGAAACAATTTTTGGTCTTGCATTAAGAAATGATTTTTCATAGTTTAAAAGCCAGTGTTAGTCACAAGTTTCTATTGCAATATTAAAAAATGCAATAGTTCTATGTCCTATCATACCTTTTAATTAATAAATAAAAACCTGACCCACTTCATGGTAATGGAAGAGTGATGGTCATATTATCTTAGACAACACCACAATTATGGTGAGTAGTCCAAATAGCAGATTCCAACCTACTAAAGCTCATTTCATCATAAATATATTTAAATGTAATTGGGATTCTAGGAGTTGAACCCCACTGTTTATTTATTAGCAAAGCAGATGTCTTGGATGGAATGCACTCATCTTCTCCTATGCACTCCCCTAAAGCTACACCAGATGTTGAAGAATGCGATAGAATAAATTTAGAGAAGCATGGGATGGAACGGATGGAGAGCGAAGTGGAAGTTCATTTGCAAACAAGTGATTAATAATGTTAATCATTATTATTTGAACAATATATGTATTTAATTCTGCTTCCATTTATATGGAATACATATAATCCATAATAAACCTTTCAATTTATATTTTATATTAGACATCAGATATAAATCAAGGTAGCAAAAAAAGAGATTTCAATTGAGCAACAAAAGACAAAAGGTATTTGTAATTCATACGCATTTCAGAGATTTCAGACACACCAAGTCATGAGTTTGAAAATCATTAGCGTAAACCTCCTAAACACAAATGCGTAACTTCACTACAAAAATATAAACTGCTTAAAGAGCATTCTTTTTGCTGATATTCTTACCAAAAAGAATAATTCAAGCATCTTATCTACAGAATTTTAATTCCACGAGATTTGCTGTAAATTCACTACATAGCATTTAATGTAATAAATATACAAAGAAAAATAAGGGCAATAAAAGACAACTTGCAACAAGTATGCACTACAGAATTGTTTCTACTGTAGAAAGGAATGTTCAAAATCAAATTAATATGAAGCAATATACTTTGCACTACAGTATTCCCTTCCATATATAGTGATATAGTGTCCATGAACAGCAACCCATTTCTTCTTTTCCTCCACCACAGCGTGGATAATTGTCACTGTCATGCAGAACATACAGAAAGCAGAAGATTGATGCATATTGTATGCTATTTCATATGTGTGCCTATGTTCTTAACAAAGGAGAAAGACTGGAAAAAAATAAAATAAAATAGTCCAATGGAAGCTGGATTACTATATACAATATACTTTAATATTTTATTCCAATTCCAAACTCACAGGTAAATGATATCTGGTTAAATAAAAATTCATTAGAACTCAACTTTTGAAGGAACAGCATGCTTATTAAAAAAATCAATCCCAACATTTTTTAGAAGAAAAAATTAAGCACTGAAGAAATGAATGATGCAACTTCCGTTAGAATATAACTTCCTTAAATCACTAAAAGACAGACTAAATAAATGATTTAAAATTAAAAATAATTTAATTTTAAAGAAAACAGGGTGAAAACAATAGAGAATAAAAAATTGTTAAATGATTGCATCAAATTTTTTACTTTTGGAATCTGAATGTATATCCCAACATTTTTTCCATGGTTAGCATTGACAAAAACACCACTTCCCACACTTCAATCTGCATATTGTCCTACAATTTACTTAAGTTCAGTATTAAAAGTAAAATCCTACTACAAAAATCCCCGGCTTTATATTTTACTGACTAAAATGAGCAAAGAATAAATAAATAAAACTATGAGATTTTTGTTCAATAAGCTTGACATCATGAGAACCAATACAATATTGAAATGAATACTGAAACTAACTGAAGTATAAACTGAAACTAATTCATTGTACTAATATTTCAACAGGAATATGCTGCTTTAGTTAAAAAGTACCCTGAACTATTTCGTCAGAGTAGCCATTTATTTTTATTTTCTTCTCCTTTATTATAATTATAAATTGTAAAATTGCAATGACTTGCCTTGCACTGCCTATCTTTTTATTGAATCAAATAAACAATTTTTAACCAAAAGGACAGTAAATGTGAACATTATTATTACTACCTTTGTATTACATAGAAATCTTCTATTAAGTTTAAGAAAATGTATCCTACCTTGAATACCCATTGGAGAAGACAGATCTGTTTGAAAAATTCAAAGCCCCCACTGGTGTAAGGGCATCATCTCCAGATCCCTGGCACCTATTCCAATTTTCTGAACCAGCAGGATGAGAGGGAATGGCATTGAAAACTGGTTTCTTATCCTGCTGTTGAGTGACAGATGCAGTGTTCAAATCATAGTGGTAAATTTGCCCTCCAGAAGTACTGACACCATGAACAGAAATGGCAGATGTTTTATTTCCAACTTTATTTGACCCAGAAAAATTAGCCTGACAGTAAGTTGTGCCTATTTTCTCCTGCTTTATTACTCCAGGGGTGCACAATTCAATAAAATCTTCCTTTTCAGTTTTCACTTGTGGCATCTGCATTGTAGGATTTGACAAAAGATCCTCACATTCGTTAATGTTAGGCTTTGTGTCTGGTAAAATTGGAGGCTTGCAATCCTCCATTTCACTTCCTTCCAAGAGAAAACTCTCATCCCCACCAAGAGGTGAAAGCAAGCTACTTTCATCCAGAACAGGATCCATTCTCCAAGGGCTTCCATTTGTTTCTTTTCCTGGAGACACTGGTGGCAAATCAAAATCTTGCAAAATATCAAAGGTGCTTTGGTCTTCCGAAAACAGCTTCAAGTTGCCACTGTTGGTGTTAACCTGGCCTTGTGCTAAAGACCCTTGATTTAAAGTAAGATCACGACTAGCCATAGCTGGGAACTCTGATTCTAGGTGCACATTAGTAGATGCAGCTCCCTTTGAGCTTTCTGTCAGGCTAGAGGACTTATTTAAGCTTGCTATGCTTTCTTCAAGGAGCCTAAAATCCGTTTCTCCAGGAGAGAGGCTGATTTGGCCTTGCTGAGGAAATCCAAGTTCATTTCCCATCACTTTTGAATCGGTTTCACCCATATACAGTCCCATTGAGAGTGACACTGCTTTGGAGAGATCTGGCTGTGGCACATTGCTTCCTAACCCCTTTGGCAAGTCACACAGAACAGACTGTTTCGAGTCAGACTGGGAAGAGGCAGACAGGGTAGATGTAGATACAGGAGTCTTGACAGAAGCACCACCCCTAAAGGATGGATGAAAGTGAGCACTTTTCCCTCTTTCCTCCCCTCCTGTGGATTTCAACGATTCTTTGGGCTCCATTATTTTAGTACTAATAACAAAAACAAAAAACAAACCATCATTAGCTTGATATCAGAAGAAGCATAAGGATTTACAAAGTACCGACCCCAAGAAAAAAAGGAGTATTAAAAAGGTAAACATAAACTTAATAGTTTCCAGTAACTTTTAAATAAGATTTATAATACAAAGCATCCCAATGGCTGGAAAGTTTAAAGTTTATCTCAATTTAATCAAATGATATTTGCCTAATAGAATCAATCACAAAGAAAACTAATCAGCTATTTAATGTATCATTTAATTCATGTCAAATTAAAGTCTGTATATAAGTATTAAAACAAAAAGTAACTTTCATTTGTTTGTATACTTTTCCTAAACTATTTTGTTTTCAAGAATTCTCACTCAGGTCCATTCAAATATTGTTGCATTTGTATCCATCAATATTCTATCACTTCACAACTTACAAATCCATTCATCATCCAGGTTTCTCAGTATGATCCAATGATCTAACTTTCATTAGACAAGAAATCTTACTACATAGGACGGCTGCCAATTTAGAAATAGCTTTCCTCTTTTTCTTTTCCTCCCTTGCACTGCTACAGTTCTCTAGGTTTTTTAAGAATACACAATAAAATTATTGTATCTAAAGAATTTTAGAGTTCAGATTTGTCAAACTTATCAAGTACATTAACCTACTTTCAAATCAAAACGATGGCCAGTTTCAAGTAATATACATTTTGAAAAATAAGCAAGTGAAATACTTGCCCTCTTTAGTCTCCTTCATTTTTTTTCAGGAATTGCCATTATTTGGTATTTAAAGAACACACAATTTTAAAAGTGAATGCATACCTAAACAAAGCCAAGAATATTTTCTCTTGACATTTTAAACCTTCTACCCTTTGCAACCATTTGCAAAGAGAAAATGCTAAGTAAATCTTGAAGCGTATACAGGAGCCTTGCAGTGCCCATCAGTAATTTATTGGAGATCCAACAGGGACAGGCACAAGCTTGTATTTAAAAAATCCTGCTCTGTTTCACAACTTGATCAAAAGACCTTATTCTTAAGACATGAAAAAAAATATTGTGGTAACACTTATCTTTCCTTAACCTCTTTGCACACATTTTCCAAAAATTTATAAAACTGCCAAGGGTACTTATGAATGGACAAGAAGGCTTCTTTCAATAAACAAAAAGGCAGCATGCACAAATGACACAGCCAATTCTGCAATATCCTCTTCAAAAGTTGCATGGAACTTCTAAAATTCTTTTTGGGCCTTGACAAAAAGAATTGTGTAATTTTAAAAGATCCACACCATAACATAGCTCTAAAGCAAAAAAGAGGGAAGAACAGAAAAAGAACTTGAGTTACCACATTTGACACAAAAGTCATTATATGACAGGCAACGCCAAAGGGATAAATCTATCATATGATTCATTTGCTGGAAGAGAAAAAAGTAACTCCAAAGATATTTAATCTTTTTTGAGTTGAAATTCTCCTTCTTGTAAAGATGAAAAGAAAAAGAAAAAAGAAAAATGTGTCGGGACCTGTTGAGCATTTGCCTGGCACGCCCACTTCTGCAAAATAACATCAGCCCTTTGCTTAAAAAAAAAAATTCCAACCAAGTCCAAGTTTTCAACTCCTTGTCTGTTTCCAATCCGTGGGGCCGCCAAATAAAAAAGGGGGAACAAAAAGAGAGGTGATAGCAAGCTTTTTAAAAAAGTGAACAAATTATTTTTTAAAAAAATAAACCTTCCAAACAGCCTCTTTTTTTTTGTCCCGGGGAAGGTTAAGGGGAGGGAGGGAACCTATTACATAAGATTTATACTACTTTTACAGTGCAGTCCTATACACGTCTATCAGAAGGAAGTCTGCTGAATTCAGCGTCCCATACCCCTAAGTAAATAGATAGAGGATTGCAAACTTAAAATCGTTGCTTTCCAAGAAGACAGACTATTTTGGACATTCTGGTATGGGATTAAAATGAGCCAATGATGGTTGTGAAACAGGATAGGAAATCACTCCCCCCGCCCTCGCCTAGGCTATACATATAAACGCGTACATATATGTACATTATTTAAACACGTACAAGCCCCTTCTCCCTCTCCCCAATTTAACAAGAAGGACGTTAAAGTTAAGGACGCAATGGATCGAGGGAAGAAGCTCCCACCCTTCTCTGGCCTCACGACTCGGCAGCAAACCGCTCGGTCTTAATGGCGGGAGTGGGGGGAGGCATTACGGAGAGGGTGGAGGGTGACCTCTACAGAAAAAGCACTCCGCCGCCGCTTCAGCCGTGCACCTCCCTTCGAGAGGGACAGAGCCTAAAAGTAGAAACCATTCCTCCCTCGCCCCACACCTAGGAAAAAAAAAAAGACACCCCTTACCGTATCCAGTGGGGGCGCTGGGAGTCCTCTTAACCACCAACTTCCATGGCTCCAGCACACAGCGAAGCAAATAAACAACTTGGTGGGGACTGGAAGGAAGCAGAGTTACGGGGCGACGGGATTGGGTGTGGGGTGGGGGTGAAAGCAGCCGCCCCTTTGCAGATGAGGAGGTAAGCAGCCGCCCCCTCCCTTTCCTCCCCACACGCACACTGACAGACAGACCGCGCTTCCACACGCCGCCGCAGCCCCTCACCTGCTCTTTTCCCACCCCCCGCTCGCGTGCACCACACGCACACTTCTGCCCCGCAATTAATTAAAGCCACACTTTCTCCCGCTCTCCTCTCCGCCTCTCCCCCCGCTCCCTCTGCCCGGGCGTCCCGCCTTCCCCTTCTCCTCCTCCTCCTCAACCTCCTCCTCTTTTTCTTCCTCCTCCTCTTCCTCCTCCCCCCGCCAGCCACTCCGTTTGCGCTCAGCTCTACGGCTTGCCCCAGCCACAAAATGGAGGACGACGACGGTGCTAGCAGCAGCAGCCGCAGCCGC